ATTTCGCATGAAGATGCCTGCCACTTTTTTCCGGCTCGGGGTTTTGCCGGAGAAAAGCGCCAGTCTAGACGGGTTCTTGCGGAAAATAAGCCCTTTTCTGCAAGATCCCTTATTCCTACTTCAAGGAATAAGAGATCTTCCGGAAAAGGGCTTATTTTCCGCAAGATCCCGTCTAGACTGGTGCTTTTCTCCGGCAAAACCCCGAGCCGGAAAAAAGCGGCAGCCATGTTCATGCAAATGCCGCGGGGGATATTTAAATCCCCCGCGGCATTTGCAATTCCGACTGGTCTCATTAGCATCCCTTTTCTGGAAAGGGGTGCCAATGTAGACACAGCCATGGGCTAACGAGGAGTCCGTCTCTCATTCTCAGAACGGATCACTAAGACCTGTGTTTGGATTATAGAGGTCCTGAGCACCCACGACGCTACGGTTACTGAAAATGTGGGGGCTCAACACTTCTGGGAATTAGGCCCTCGATCTGTAAAGTTGGGCATCCAAAACTTGAGGTTTCTCTGGCTCACGTTTCCAATGTGTTTTGTGGAAAGGAAGGTGGGAAAAAGAGGAAAAGTGACTAGGGGAGATCTCCGAACTTGTGTAGTGCTGCCTTGGTTGCATTGATCATAGACTGGGAAGGGGCAAGGGCTAGGAAACCAATGGTGGGTGCTGTGTCCAATCAGTGATATCTATTCTCCTTCTTCCACCTTTGCCAGCAAGCACTGCCCCCTCTGACAGTCCTTATGCTCAGGTCCCCATCTTCCCGTTGCTTCCCAACCGGGATGGAATGACCGAACCGAAGCCAAAAAAAGACTTGCAGAAGCTAGAGATGCAGAGAAGGAAAGAGCCTATATCCTCATTTGAAAACCACTTTTTCCACAAAAGAAACTGGCTGCGCAAGGTGAGATAAGGAGAAGTTGTTAATCAATGTAACAACAGATGATACACAAAAGGGCGAGTCTTGTTTTGCTGTAGACTCCTCCCTGTTGAAATATGTGGAGCCAGCACAATCTTATGACACTATATAGGCTACATCTACACTGCATCTCTCTTGTGGAAGAAGAAATGCAAATGAAGTGCTCATTAGCGACATCTCACACTTCATTTGCATATTCTCTTCTGATGCTTTTTGTGGAAGAGGTTTTTGCACAAAAAAGCAGTGTAGACGTGTCCGTTTTGTGCACAAAAACCCTTTTGCGCAAGAACCTGTATACTTCATTTTTTGAGGAATAAGGGTTCTTGCGCAAAAGGGGTTTTTTTGCACAAAACAAACCCTTCTACACTGCATTTTTTTGCTCAAAAACCTCTTGAAAAGTTGCTAATGAGCGCTTCGTTTGCATTTCCTCTTCCGCAAGAGGGATGCAGTGTAGACATAGCCTTTGTTTCCCTTAGACTTAGTGGGTCAAATTCAGTGATGCCAATGGGGTGACTCCAAGTAAGCTGGGAGTTGTCTAAGGTGGTGTAATGTACACATTGAGGGGGATGGAAGGAAGTGAAGTATGTGTGGTTTACGCTTCCTTCCATCCCCCTCAATGTGTACATCACAGCACACAATGTAAACCGCACAAACTTCACTTTCTTTTAGACTCAGCTCTGAATATGGCCACTGGAAAATTGTTCCTAGAAATGTTCATGAAATGAGTCCATGTACACTGCTTAGTTTAGCTTGCACTTGATGCAGCTGATATACAGGGGCTATGCGTTTGAGATTACATACAGTGGGGAACTGTGGCAGACTGTACGTTCACTTGTCGTTCCCTATAGGTATCATGGTTGGAATAGCTCTTCCCCCTACAGCCCAGAAAACCTAATACCCTGGGTGACTATTCCAGGGAAAAAGTCTCAGAGGGGTAGCTGTGTTAGCCTGTAACTTTAAAAACAAGTAGTCCTGTGGCACCTTAGAGACTAACACAAACATAGTGTCATGAGCTTTCATGGGAAAAACCCACTTCTTCACGAGCTGGAGCGAAAAAACCGTGAACATAGAATTTATAACAGAAAAAGAAGGAAGGGGGGGGAGTACAATTCTAGTGCTGGTACGAATGCGGCTAACTGAGTGGGCTGGATGTCTCTCCTACTTAGCTTTAGACATAAATGAGGAGTTAAATGTACGGAAGGCTGGTTCTATAATGGGACATCCAATTAATGTCTTTGTTCAGGCCCAGGGAAACGGTGTCAAATTTGCATAGGAAGGTCAATTCCACACTCTTTTCCCCCCCCCCCCCTCAGAGTTACTAGGCTGGCTGAAAAAGTTGTGGGTTTGATTCCTGTTCTAAAAGCTTTGAGGCAGGAGATTCTAGCTGAATTCCCCTGTTCCCATCTGCCACAGATATCAGGAATGTATAGCACTGGAAGACTTACCTGGCATTGCTCAGGTCCTTCAGGGCAGGTAGATAGAAGTAGAAGGGGGGAGGGGCTCAGGCGAGAGGGCTTAGAGCTGGGGGAAAGGCAGCTACTGTCTTCTCCCTGGAGCTGGCCCAGGGTGGGTGTGGGAGCTCAGGCTGCCCACCATGCTACTGCCTGGGGCCAGCCCAGGCAGGGGGTCATGCTCCTCAGGGGAGCTGGCCTGGGCTGTGCAGCACAGTTGCCTGGGGCCTGGTCCAAGACACCAGAGAGGAGGAGAGGGGAGCAAGGTTGCCTGAGGGCCAGCCTAAGGCCGCGGAGGCTGTGTGATGGCTAGCGGCTACTCCCCTGTGGTCATTTGTGAGTATAACAGTCCCCCATGCTTGCTGCCCTCCTGTGGTCATTTGTGAGTATAACTGTCCCTGCTATCACACCCCCGCTCTTTCTGCTTGATGTGAAACAATCCCATTCCACACACGTCCCATTGTCCTGGCACAACAAAACTCTCACCTTGCTTTAAGTTATGATAAGGGGAAACTGCGTACTGAATGCGGTGGTCCTAACGCTTACCATTTAGGAGGAGTTCTTGAACAAACAGACTCACAGACAGACAGCCGCACATTTCTAAAATATACGGTAGGATGGTAGTCTGCTCGGGTGTCTTGGTAGCAAGACTAAAGGCATGAACACTACCATGAGTGCAGCAGAAGATACCAGCCAGCAGAAGATGTCCCTTGGTCTCCCACTTCCCAATCGCAGGATATGATCAAGTGACCCAGCCCACACAAGACACTCACAGAGGATGTCTGCTTTCTCTGTTGTCCTCCACAACACACACACACCCGCCCCCCAAGGCATAAGGACGCCTGATGGGAAACTATGGTTGTACGTGACAACAGGGAAAGATCCTTTCTAAGCAGCAGGCTGTGCTTCCTCCTCTGGGGGGCAGCACTGGGAGATAGCAATACTGCAAGTAAGTGGGGCCAAACCCAGCTTTTGTGTATTGCAGTGTAATCAGATCTCATGCTTCAGCCTGACTCATGCAGGGTGGGATTTCCCCAAATGTGCTGGAGTAAATAACTGACCAGGTACATTAGAGTTTTGTCCAAGACAGCAATAAGTCACAGACACTGCCAAAGGCATGTCACGATGGCCTCTGTGGCTTTTTCAATTAGGCAGCTGCGTTCAAACCGCCTGGTGATTTCAAAGGTCAGAAAATCCCCCTTTCTCTCAGCCCTCACTTGATGGAGAGGCGTCACCAGCTCACCATAGACGACCTGCAGGAGATACGACTAGATGTGAGTACGGACACAAGCACCCCTTCCAAAGAATTCCTCATTCTCCCCCGGCAAGCCCCTGGCAAGCCACAATGATTCCTCCCTTCTGTGTTTAGTGTTACACGAGAGAACCAGTTCTGCAATGTGTTAGATCCTTGTCACTCTTCTTCCAAGGACTGGCTGATCCAAGGCATTCAAAATACGGGGGCCCTTTCATCTCTAGGGTCCTGCTTTGGATGCTGGCTGGGTTGCTCGAGCTAGAAAGAGGGCTATTTTGTGGTGTTTATAAAAACAGTTCAGTCCTGGTGAACAAGGACTACGCCACATGAACCAGCATCCCAGGTGGCCTCATTGCTGCCCTTTTTGGGGGCCAAAGGAGAACCACAGCCACCTAATATTACCCTTTCACCTCCCCGCCTTCCATTCGGACAGGCCAAGATGTGACTGGGGGCAGCATCTGGATGTTTGCCTTGCTGAGATACAGCTCCCAGTGCTGTCGCTCTGTCTCCGCCCTTCAGCACGGGAAGACACAGAGTACGAGCTCCACGTGACTTCCTGAAACACAAAACTGGGACAAATGCAGACCTGGTGTAAGGAAATGCAACTGCCATTGCAATTGCAGGAAGTGCAGGGTGCTCACCATTAGAGATGTGGATGGGTTATCAGGTCAGCGTCCCCTTACTGGGTGCTGCTTATCGGGTACAGGTTAACCTGTGCTTGGGAGCAGCCCCCGGCCTGTGGCCTGCCATGGGCGGAGGGCTGCCCCATTGGGGTCAGGAGCCAGCAGCAGCCCCATCCCCAGGAGCTTCCTGCCCCCAGCCCCGAGACCAGGAGAGTCCAGCTGCCACCGGCAGCAGCAGCCCCAGTCCCAGGATCCTGTTTACTCAGTTAACTGGTTAAATATTGGGTTAAACGGATGAATCGGTATTTTACAGCCCCACTTAGCATATCTCAAGCTGGGGTCCCTTTAAGCAGCCTGGCAGCCCATTTTCACAGGTGATTAATCAGCCCCAGCCAGTCAGCTCCCTGCATGGAGCCCTGAGCCTCTGTCTGAGCGGGGCTGATTAATCACCTATGAAGCAGGGCTTAGAGGGAACACTGAGCTCAGGGCATGTCCCTTTACAACCCTTCATAACACAGTGGATTTCCCATGTAATTATAAGGTGTGATCCATCCAATTAACTTTCTGTTGAAAGAATTGTAACTGCCCATCTGTATAACTTCATAGTAATTTCAGGGAATTTCAGGAGGGATGAAACCAAAGTCAGTCAGTTAATTCTTTCAGTTACATGAGCTGGAGACATTTACTGGCATCTAAATGCAATGAATGACAAAGGGCATCCAGGCTCTGTCCTTTTTTTCCTTGTGAACATCTCCTGCCTGACTTCTGCAATAGCTGGTTTCCATTTGGGTGAAACTCTGGCTCCGTATTACTCTGCAGCCTCTTTCAAGCGCCATTTCTTCTTCACAGGTGAAGAGGGTAACTGAAATGTACAAGGAGGGGATGGCACTGAAGGAGAGGAACAGGATGTTGAGACTGTGGCAGAAGTTGCATGGGGGCCAGATTGGACTGAAGCCAAGGAACAACAGCTTCTACCACACTTTCTCCACCTACACTTGGTCATGGAACACCCGCCAGGAGCTGGTGACACCCAATCAACTTCAGGAGTATGATAATAAACTGTACCACAGAGAACAGTCCTCAGCCTGTTCAGATGACAGTGAAGTCAAGGATGGGACAAGGAATGGAAAAGAAAGGAAATGAGAAGAAATAGGCATACTGCTTCTTTTTCTTAACATCGCTACTGAATACTCACCTCTGCCCCATTATTTTCCCCTGTAACAGCCTCAGACCATCACACTGTCTGAGGCTAGGAAAGAGAACTGGTTCCCCTTTGAACCCTGGATAATACAATGAAAATTAAAACACCCTTTTTTTCTTCTATTGGTCTCAGCTCTCTCTCTATAACCACTGATTTCAGGAATATCACCACAGGGGTTAAATTTGGACAAGAGGATACATTTGGAAGGATGAGTGTCAAGATTCTTCTATTCTGTTTCTACTCTGCCACTGACTATTCCTTGTTTTTTTCATCTCTGAGATGGGGCTCACACTAGAGATGTCAACATGTAGTCGACTACACGATTAACCGATAAATCTGGGCTTATCGGTTAATCCTGTGGACTACCCACACTCCCCCACCCTTGCAAAGGGGGTGCAGAAGCTGGTACCTGTGACAAGCCAGTTTCTAAGTAGGCTCCCCACAAGCACCAGATCCCATGGAGCTAGCTGCCTGCCCAGAGGCAGCAGGGTAGGGTGAGGAAGACTGCCTTGGAGCAGCCTCTGTCAGCCACAGACAGGGACAGGGACTGATGCCACCTTGAACTGAGGTAGCACTGTCATCCCACGGAGGCAGCAGTGTGGGGTGACAGGCAGCTGGTCTGCGAGGGGAGCTGGTTTTTAAACTTTTAAACTGTTTTAAAATGCCCCCAGGGACTACTGACTAGCCGTGGAACCACTACAATTTGATGCAGTTAGACAATTATTTAATTTACGCTAACATCCCCGGCTCGCTGACCTCAGAGTGAAAGAATCTGCACAGGGTTCAGTGACATTACACATTGTAAAAATTATTATTTCCCATTCTTGCTTGTACACCTAGGAGGAATGGGGACAAATACAGACTTGTATCTACCTAAATCCCAGGAGATCTCTGCACCGTACCATGCTACAGCCTTTCAACTCCACTAACACACCCGCTACATCAAGCCTTGGAAAAGACATAAACCTTTATACTTTAGGACTTACGCCAAACTCTAACTGGTGGAGGTAGGAAGGAAATCCATCCATGGCCATGTTATTTCACTGTTGCCCACTTTGGAATGTCTTGTACCTTTCTCTGCAGTGATACATCACTAACATAGAGGATGTTAGTAGACATGGGGTCGGATTAGAAGCTAAAATAAAAGAGCAAGTTAAAAATTATTTAGAAAAGTTAAATGTCTATAAGTCACTAGGGCCTGATGAAATGCATCCTAGAATACTCAAGGAGCTGACAGAGGAAGTATCTGAGCCTATAGCTATCATCTTTGAAAAATAATGGATGTTGGGAGAGATTCCAGAAGACTGGAAAAGGGCAAATATAGCACCCAGCTATAAAAAGGGAAATAAGAACAACCCAGGAAACTACTGACCAGTCAGTTTATCTTCTTTGCAAGGGAAGATAATGGAGCAAGTAATTAAGGAATCCGTCTGCAAACATCTGGAAGCTAATAAGGTGATGAGTTACAGCCAGCATAGATTTATAAAGAACAAATTATGTCAAACCAATCTGATAGCTTACTTAGATAGGATACAAGCCTTTTAGATTAGGGAGAAGTGGTGGACATGATATACCTAGACTTTAGTAAAGCATTTGACACGGTCTCGCTAGGAAAATGCAACCTAGATGGGGCTACTATAAGATGGGAGCATAACTGGCTGGATGACTGTTCTCAGAGAGTAGTTATTAATAGTTCACAATCATGGTGGAAGGGCATAACAAATGGAGTTCCACAAGGGTCTGTTTTGGCACCGGTTCTGTTCAATATCTTCATCAATGATTTAGATGATGGCATAGAGAGTATGCTTATTAAGTTTGCAGATGATACTTAGTGGGAGGGATTGCAAGTGCTTTGGCAGATAGGGTCAAAATTCAAAATGATCTGGACAAACTGGAGAAATGGTCTAAAGTAAACAGGATGGGCTGCGTCTAGACTGGCCGCTTGAATTTGCGCAAGAACACTGACGATCTGATGTAAGATTGTCAGTGTTCTTGCGCAAATACTATGCTGCTCCCGTTCAGGAAAAAGCCCTCTTGCACAAATGTATTTGCACAAGAGGGCCAGTGTAGACAGCTCAGGACTGTTTTGCGCAAAAAAGCCCCGATGGCAAAAATGGCAGTCGGGGCTTTCTTGCGCAAAACCGCATCTAGATTGGCACGGACGCTTTTCCGCAAAAAGTGCTTTTGCGCAAAAGCGTCCGTGCCAATCTAGGCGCTCTTTTCCGCAAATGCTTTTAACGGAAAAACTTTTCCGTTAAAAGCATGTGCGGAAAACCATGCCAGTCTAGACGTAGCTGATGAAGTTTAGCAAGGACAAATGCAAAGTATTCCACTTAGGAAGGAATAATCAGTTTCACCTACACAGAATGGGAAGGAGTACTGCTGAAAGGATTTAGGGGTCATAGTGAACCACAAGTTAAACATGAGTCAACAGTGTGATGCTGTTACAAAAAAAAGCCAACATGATTCTGGGATGCATTAACAGGACTCAAAACAGAATCCCTGCCCTTCTCATAAATAAAGACAATGCAGAAACTTTTTGTGTTTGACAGTATTTTATTTAAAAATTAAAAATTAAGCCTGGCCAACAAACCCCCAATTGGGGCCAAGCCCTCATCTGGCCGCAGCATTATAACACCGCTCCCCAGACCCTAGATCTGAGATATACACTGGACCCCCCTGTCCTAAGCCTCTGACATCCCCAAATTCCTGCATCCCCACATCCTCAGTCTTCTGCCACAACATTCGTCCACCATCCACACATCACAAATCTGTGTCCTGAGTCCATCATACTCACAACCTTCTTGCCCTGAGTCCCTCACATATCCAGCTCAAATTCCTGCACCCTCACAGCCACAAGCCCGGGCTTGCTCGGCACCCCAACCTTCCACCTGAGACCAACACTCCTCAGCCTAGAGCCCCCTCCCCAAGACAACAGCCCCTTCTCCTGCATCCAAATTCCCTCCCAGAGCTTGTACTTCTCACCCCTTCCCACACCGAAATCCCTCATCCCCACCCCACACCTCACTCTCACTAGGCTGAGACAGGTATAAGGGCTTGGGATAGCAAGTGATGGAGAGGATGGGAACAGAGTGGATGAGGCCTCACAGAAGAAAGGGGGGGGAGCGGTCTCAGGGAAAGAATGTGATTTTCATGAATTGGTGGGTCCCTCTCTTCTCCCACCCACCCTCTTTTTTTTTTTTGCTTGACAAACCTAGGGGTTCCTTGAAATTCTGAAAAGCTGAAAAGGGTTCCACGGCCAAATAAAATTGGGAAACACTGGTATAATGGCACAAGAGCACCATGTAGATGAACTGTTCTCCTCTGGCCTCCCCTGGGGTCCATGGGTCTTGGAAACAAACTGGTTTTTGGTACTCAGATGGTAATGTAGTGTAGACGTACCCATAGAGGCTATGGCTAGACTGCAGGAGTTTTTCCAGGATTCCAGAGAGATCCTGGAAAAACTCTTCCGCATCCAGGGATGCATTTGTTCTTCTGCTTTTTTTAGTGGAAGAGTAAACATGCTCTTTCGGTAACCCCTGTATTCCTCGTTCCACTAGGAATAAGGGGGATTCCAAAAATCAGGGGCTACGTCTACACTGGCATGATTTTCCAGAAATGCTTTTAACGGAAACGTTTTCCGTTAAAAGCATTTTCGGAAAAGAGCGTCTAAATTGGCACAGATGCTTTTCCGCAAAAAGCACTTTTTGCGGAAAAGCGTCCGTGCCAATCTAGACGCGCTTTTGCGGAAATACTTTTAACGGAAAAACTTTTCTGTTAAAAGTATTTCTGCAAAATCATGCCAGTCTAGACGCAGC